GAGAGGGGGGGAGGGTGAAAGAGTGATAAGAGTAGGAATGTTTAGCTGGCCGTGAAATTATGCAGTTGAAGCGTTCGTTTGTTGAGAAAGTGAGGAGGAATGGATAGATAACCAAAATCTTCGCCAACTCAACAAACACTAAAACAAAACAAACCTCTCCTCCACTCTCTCCTATTCTCTCTTGTGTTTTACTTTCTTATTTTTAGAGAAATAGGCATTAAAAAACGGAGCATGGGTTGTGTTGGATTGCGGACTCTCCACCTAACCTCCTCCTCTTCGAACACCTGTTCGGTAATTGGGAAACAAATAGAATTGTACATCACAACTTTACTCGTTATATCGATTAATATCTCTAAATTAAATTCAACAATTTTTCGGTTCTTATGTAAAGTATTCATTAACTATGTTCAATTAATTCTATTTCTTTACTTATCTTAAGTGTTTGCCGAGATATAAAATGTGGTCCATCTCTCAAAAAAGAAGTAATGTTCAGGACATCTATTTTTAAGAGAGAAAAAAATTCATAGCAATAGATTGACCTCAAAAATATTTATAAAAAAAAAAATGACACTATTTTAATTTAAAAATCCAAATAAATAAAAAGTTAACTTAAATACTTGATTAGATTAATCAAGTTTTTATATGTTTTTTTTAATTTAGATTAGTACAAACTTAAGATGAATTGAGTTTCAAGTTGATCCAAAAAATCCAAGTTTTAAAACAATGAGTACAATTAATAGAAATATATTCTATAAGGTTTTATTGGGTAAATAAAAAGTTGACACAATTAATATATTATAAAACTACATGAACTATTTAAATAAAAAAATTATATTTATATGAAATTAAAAAAATATTTTTTTATTCAAAATATCCTTAATATTTTTAAAATCACCCCCCTTTAATAATTAAAAATTAAAATTATTTTGGGTTATATTGTTGAAATACCAATCTAAAATAAATGGTGAAATATATTACCCATTTCGTTCAATAAAAAATGTTGTTTTGGTTGTGCATTAAAAAAAAAAAGAAATAGTAATTGAAATTGATGGGTTTTAGAGCTCTTGCAGGCATGGATGATGGAAGAATGAAGATTCAATCCTGTAGTTGGGATCAATTTATAAAGCTTTTTTTTTTTTATTTCTTCTACCAAACATTATTTCTTTATCTTTGTTTTTTTTTTTTTCAAAACAAGAAAAGAAGTTTCTTTAATTGGTGGGTTGTTTTGTTCTTACATGTATGAATGATAGGATAAAAAGGAGGGAATCTTCACTTGCCGTTACCACGTGTGCAACCACAATAAACAAAAAGTGATGATGTGAACACTCACAGGTTGAGAATTTTAAAACGCACAATTAAGATTAAACATAATTTAAAAAATCTAAAATCAAGTTGAAAAACACTTATTTAATAATTACTCAAGCTAAAAAACTATAATTATTGAATGAAATCTCTGACATATTAATTATGAAAAAATGAGAACCAAAATTATAAAGATTGAATGACACAAAAAAAAAATTTAATAAATTATAAATAGTTGAATAAAGAACTAAGAATAAGAGAAATATTCTCTCATAGTACTTTAAAAAAAAACTAATAAGTTGCCCTAACTTAAAAATAAATATATATATTTATAATTCAACAAAATAAACTTTACTAAAATATTAAGTTGAAATTAAAATTAAAATATAAACTAGTTTAATATTACTTTAAAATAAATGAATAAAGCCACATAGAAGTCAATACACATAAGAACTTCTAGCCTTATTAAGACCAATACACATAGGAATTTCTAGCCTTATTAGAAGATATTTTTTATGTATGCTTGCAATAAAATTTCAACTTTATAGAAGAAATGAAGCATATAAAATCTCAGATAAATTTTCAATTTGATTTAATAATTAATTAAAAAGTTATGACTATTAATATAAAGTTGTGTAGCCAAGTTGTAGTATATGTTAAATAAATTCATCTTTTACTTAGATCACATTGACATAGACTTAATCCTCCTTTAAACTTAACTTGATAATTGATGCCACCTTATAATGAGTTCTTGAAGCTTGCTTAGCTCAAATGTCATAAATTAGCCCATTGAACTCTTTTTTAATTCTTTTGACTCTTGTTGTTGTAATTAGCTCAATTAAAACATGCAATGGATCTTGTGGTATTGCTAGTTAATTCTCATTATTTCTTGTTTTTTAAAAAAAATTCAACCTTAAATCATCACCTACATAAGAAAGAGAAAGATTAGAAATATTAAATATCACACTAACATTATACTTACTTAGTATATCTAACTTATATGCATTGTCGTTGACCTTTTTAAGAACTTGAAATGGACAATCTCCACTTAGTTGCAATTTAGATCTCCTATGAATTGGAAATATTTTCTTTCTCGTATGCACAAAATCTCAATCACCTAGTTCAAAGATAACACATTTGCAACCTTTGTTAGCTTTAGATGCTACCAAACAATCTTATAAAATTTGTTCACCATATTTACTTTTCTAATTCCATCATGACCAACCATTTCATCAATAGCTAAAGGAATCAAATCCAAAAGATTTAATGGATTAAAACCATATATAATCTTAAATGGTGAAAAATCAATTGTATAATGCACACTTCTAACAATAAACACTCCTCATGATTCTTCAAGTTCTTTTAAATGATAACTTTCTTTATTGCCATTGTTTGACCATTCATTTATGGATAAAAGTAATTAAAAATAATAGTTTAATTCCTAACATTTCTTATAAAACCTTTCAAAAACAATTAAGAAACTTAACATCACGATAAAAAACAATAATGTTAAAACACCATAAAGTCACCCTATACATTCTAAAAGAATAGTTGCATTATTAATTTTATAACATGATATAAAAGTTGTCATATTAGAAAACCTATCTTGATAAAAATTGAATCCTTATTTTTTTTTACCTAGGTAAACCTAAAACAAAGTGATTGTACATCAAAAGTATCATTAAGTCTCTTATTTTATATAAGTATTTATTATTTATTATTTTTATTTTTATTATAATAATTGATGTGTTTGTTAATAATGAAGTTTCTTTTAATGTTTCGATAAATTTTTGGAGCTTAAATGAATTAATTTAGAAAATTCAACATTGGAATTCAAAATAAAAAATTGAAGAGACATTTAGTTGAAGATTGAAGCAAATCTTGGTTCAAATAAGTGCTTCAAATTTGCCCCAAAAATCAATTCTATTCCAATTCTAGAAAAGAATATCATATGATCTATTTCAAGCCCAAACTTGCCTTATGTTATGTGCAAACTTCAACCATTAAACACTCAAGGTTTCAATATCAATCTTAGCCCAAATAATAGGTACATTTATATCCTTATTTGATGCTTAAATTCAGCCCCAAATCAACCTTCAAATCAGCCCAAGCACAATCCATGATCTTACATGTTCACACAACAAATAACAATTGATTTATTTTTGGTAATCCATTGATCCAAGAAGGCAAGCATATAGATGGAAATTTGGAGGGGATATTGTTATATTATTTTGGTTCAAAAAGAAGAAAGATACAGCTCATAAATGAGGAAGAAAAACGTGCATCAAAGTGGTTGCAAAGTTGGCCTGATTTGATTTTTCAAAACACCTTTCAGTGTTTTGCCTATAACTTTTGACTCAGGTATCCAAATGAGTTGTTATTTAATGATCTAGAAAGGTGACAAAATTTTCTATAAATATGTCTCTAATAGATATCTCAAACAAATACCTCTAGAAGGGTCTAAATTGCTATCCAAAGTTAGTATCATATTTGTGTCCGAATTTTTACTGAAATTGTGTTGTGTTCTTCTTTGTAGATTTTAGTTCTTTAGCTTGTAAAACTTATTATTTCAGTTTGATTCAAGTTATTTCTTGTTAATGAAAGTGTTCTTATACATAATCATGATTGGTTAATCTCTTTCTTGGATCCAAATCAAGGATGATGGTGGTTGAGGTGAGTTCTTTAAGATATGAATGAATCCTAATATTTATCTTCTTATTTTCTTCATGAATGTTTTATTATTGCAAAGAAATTTTAAAAATTATTTAGGTAATGTTATAATCTTGAATTTTTATGCACAAACTTTAGTTTTGGTATAAAGATTGCTTGATTCAATATCTTACTTAATATGAAAGTACTTGTTCATTCTTCAGTAATAATCAATCTTCATCTTTCTAAACTTCATAGTATTATGTTCTGATCTAATATCACCATCGTTGATATTAGGTTGAGTTATCTTATATACCTTGAAGGAATCACCAATACATCACCATTAAAATTGATTTGGACCAAGACTTACTTTTTCTTATCATTTAAAATCTATTTACACTTTTTCATCTTTGAAAACAAATCCATCAATTATTTTCAACCAAGTTATTGTTAATTTAATTTCTCCTGAGTTTTTTTTGTTACCTAGTTTAATTTCCAGATCTAGCTCTCTGTGGATATGACCTCGAACTTACCAAGTTAATTTCTACATCGCACACTCGTTCACGTGGGAGTTAAAACAAGCCGATCATAAAAAGCGGTCAAGCAATTTTGGTGCCGTTGTTAGGGAGCTAGCAAGCAAAGGTAACAAATTTAGATTTGATTATTGGAAAACCCAAAAACAAATCATAGAAAAAAATCAATTGGCTGGTTTTATCACCTAAAAAAATTAAAAAAAAATCAAATGGCTGGTTTTACTGCCTCAAAAAATTGAACTCAACTTTTCGGATATTGGACTGTGGAATGGACTACTAATTGTTGGCTTTTGGTTGGTTCAACCATTTTTCTTTTGATGTTTATTCTAATTAGTTTATAATATTTATTGTTTACATTATAAGGCTGGTTTTACCGCCTCTTGTTTATTTTATTTTATCTTGTTGTATTGTTGTGGTTATTTTTTTTTGAAGTACTTTGCTGGTAATATCGCCTCTTGTTTATTTTATTTTTTGTTGTTTTGTTGTGATTATTTTTTTTGTATTTATTGTTTGAAGTACTTGACTGGTATTACCGCCTCTTTATTCATGCTTGTTATAATTATCTTTTAATGTTTATTATTGTTAATATTGCTTATTAGTTGGAGTGTGAATTTCCTAATTTGTTGTATTTTTATTTTTGAGCTATTACTTTATCTTTTACATTTCATTTACTTTTATTTGCAATCTTCTTTTTCTTTTTCCTTTCTTTTCATATTCATATAATTGTTATATTATTATTATTTTTTTCATCATGGCTAATGTTGAAGATGTAGAGGGTGAAGGGAGTGTTCAAGGTAATGGATCTCCATAGTTCAATGATCAACCTAATTTTCGAA